TTTTTTGAGTGTCTTTGCTTAACTATAAAGAAAGCAAAGAGAAGCAGGAAGGGTGAGGGCCAGGAAAATTTGAGATGATTTTTCCCTTGTTACATAATGAAATTTAAAAAAAAGTAGATAAGCGCATCAGTCCATCAGTTTCTTTGATTTTGGGCCAAGTCTAAATGTCCTCTGTTCTGTTTGCTCGTTTGTAAAAAGCTTAATGTTAACAAACTCTAATCCATTTAGTTCTTCTTTTGGAAGGACATTTATGCTCATAAGAAAATGCAACACCTGTCAAAGGAAATCTTGTGAGGTTGAGAAGATAAGCAGTTTTTATTAAAATGAATCCAAAAAAGAACTGGGGCAAATTTATCTCCAGTACTTCTAGTCCTAAGAAAAGTATTGGAGAATATTTAAGGGAAGGAGCTGGTAACAAATGCTCCTTTTTTTGTTTTGTTTTACAAAATATGATAAACATGTACCCCATGTATGGGAATTACCCTGTAAGTAAAAATTACCCTGTAAATAAATACATCTTTTTTTGCTTGTTTTGTTTTACAAAATATGGTAAACATATACCCCATGTATGGGAATTAACCTGTAACTATGGAAATTACCCTGTAAGTAAAAGTCATTGCAATAATATCAGCGCGTTCCATTGCTGGCCCTATTATCAATTGGCACTGTGACTTTGGAAAACTAATGCCACCTTTTTGTGCCCCTGTTTTCATTATCTGAGAACTTAAATAATTGAAATAGATGATCTCCAAGGTACACTTTAGGAAGAAGAAGTGAAGGGCCAGAGGTAAGTAGGAAGTGTTCAGAGAAAGTTCTGGGTGCTAAATGTGTTTTGGGGTTCATTGTTTCAGGTCTTTTAAGCCTTGTCAACTGACAGCAAGAAAATGTATGTGTGTATACTAACCCATTACAAACGCATCTGTGAATAGATCTGAATATAACCACCTTATCTGTAGGAATCTAAACATAACTTCATGGTGATAGCTGCACAACTCGAGTCCATTTCCAGGTGGATCAGTCAAGCCTCCTCCCCTTGTTTAATTTCGACCTCCCTCTCCAACAGTGAAAATCTGGTTCCCACCATTTGAGATCCATTTATTTACTTGCTCAGTTCTAGTATACATGTATAGTGGTATCATGATTGTCTACTTACACCCTGTGGGAAACAACTTTATCAAGTAGAGTATGGTGCTTATGTACAATTTGTTTTGCCTTTGATGTTACAGAGTCCTCCCATTTTCAGGTTTGTTAGGCTCGTATTTCCCCCCAGCCCCTTTCAGGGAGGTGGTTTTATACATTTGTAACACAATTAGATTATTTTGTCATATTCTGCATTTCATCTTGATATCCTCCAAACTCCTAAATGATTTTTGAAAAATTTGCATGCATTAAGGCTCACTCTTTGTGCTATGAAGCTGTGTGGGTTTTGACAAATGCATGGTATAATAATGTGTTCACCATTATAGTGTCCTAAAGAATAATTTTGCCACCGTAAAAAATTCCCCGGGGTTTACCTACTCAACTCTCTATCCTTCCCCCAGAACCCTGGCCAACCCTGATATTTTTACTATCTTTATAGCTTTGCCTTTACTAGAATGTCATATCGTTGGAATCACATAGTATATAGGCTTTTCAGACTGACATTTTTCTCTTAGCAATGAATGCATTTGAAATTCCTCCATGCCTTTTTGCAGCTTGGTAGTTCTTTCTCAAAAATCACTAAATAATATCCCATTGTGTGAATGTACCACTTTGTTTATTCATTCAGCTATCTAAGCACATCTTAGTTGCTTCCTGTTTTGGGTAATTACGAGTAAAGCTACTACAAACATTCCTTTGCAGTTTTTTGTGTGGGCATGAGTTTTCAGATCAATTGAGTAAATATCTAGAAGCATGATTGCTATATTTTATAGTTAGAAACTGCCAAACTGCCTTCCAAAGTGGCTGTATTATTTTATTTTCCTGTTAACAATAAATGAGATAAATATTACTTTTTAAATTGACCGTGGAGATTTAAAATTAAAACCTTTGACTTTGTTGAAAAGTTTCCAGTTCTCTTTCATGAAGAGGAAAGTACAGAGATGGTGCAGGGATCAAATACTTGAAGAAGAGAATAAATTAAGAAAATGGCCTGTATTTGAGAAAAACAGAGTGATTGGGTCTGTGGCTAATCAAAATACATGTCTCGCTGTTACTTAGCTGCAGCTAATTGGTGTGATGCAGGAACCTGAGTCTAGTGTTTCTAAATTTTTTAAGTTTTTCAAGAGAAGCCAGAAATCTGAATTTGTATATACTGTTCCACTTTTTAAAAATATAGACAATAAACTTTACATATTAAAAGTATATAATTTGGTAAATTTTGACATATGTTTATGCCACTAAACCCATCATCCTGAACAGTTTCCTCATTTTTCTTGGCAATCCCTTTCCTATCCCACATCCCAGACATTCATTGATCTTCTTTTTGTCACTATACATTAGTTTGCATTTTCTAGAGTTTTTTTCTTAAGTAAATAAAAGTATACATTAAGCATTCCTTTTATCTGCCTTCTTTTGTTCAGTGTAAATATTTTCAGATTTATTCATGTTGTGTGATCAATAGTTCATTCCTTTTTGTAGCTGCATAGTTTTACATTGCATGGCTATACTATAGCTTGCCTATTCGTTCATCTATTACTATTCATTTAGGTTGCTTCAAATTTGGGGTATGACAAATAAAGATGATAGGCATATTTGTGTGTATGTCTTTATATGGACCTGTATTTTTTATTTCATACTAATATTCTTAGAATAATTGGGTCATGCAATAAATAAACAGTTAAACTTTAAAGAAACTGCCAGATACTCTCCAGAATGATTGCATTACTTTACATTCTCAACAGCAATGAAGGAGACTTCCATTCTTCCAAATCCTCACCAACACTTGGTATGATCAGTCTGTTTAATTTTAGTGATTCTAGTCGGTGTGTAGTGGTATCTCTTTGTGGTTTAAATTTGCATTTTCCTGATCACTAATAATATTAGGCATATTTTCATCCTTTATTTGTCCTTCATGTATCTTCTTTGGTAAAGTGTCTATTAAAATATTTTGTCTGTTATTATATTGAGTTATGAGTTTTTTATTGAGGCATTCTTGTTCAGTTCTAATATACATGTATAGCGGTATCATGATTGTTAACTTATACCCTGTGGGAAACAACTTTATCAACTAGAGTGTAGTATTTACGTACAATTTGTTTTGACTTTGATGTTGTGGAGTCCACCCATTTTCAGGTTTGTTAGGTTAGTGTCTCCCCCCAGCCCCCTTCAGTGAGTTGAATATATATATATGTGTGTGTGTGTGTGTGTGTGTGTGTGTGTGTGTGTATGTGTGTGTGTGTGTGTGTGTGTGTATTCTAGATGCATCCTTCACCAGATACATGCTTTGCAGATGTTTCTTGCTATCCGTGGTTGCTGTTTTCATTTTCTTGGCAGGGTCTTTTGAGGAGCAGATTGATTTGCTCTTGGGTCTTAATTTATAGAGATGACTGAGTGACAACACAGAAAGGTCAATGCCATTGAAAGAAAAGTTTAATATTACTCCCAGTTTCCTTAGAAATAATAGACATAGCATAAAACTCTGGCCACAGGTGAAGCACCAGTGTCAGTTAGGAGGCAGAATGGAGCAAGGGGAAGGCACAGGTTACAGACTTTATTGGGGTCTCTGTTAGAAAGGCAAAGTAGGACAGGGATAAAAGCTTAGGATCAGCTCCAGCAGCCTTTAGTTGTTTGTTACTTTGCCCTCGGTTGATATAGGGCAGGGGAAATATTGACTTGGTGTGTGAGAATTAGATAAAGAAAATGACTCTGGATAT